AAAATGTAGACGCGTAAAAAACATACCTTTGAGTGTGACAAAAAGTAGACGGCGTCGTTTTCCAATTTTGTATGGGAAACAACAACACCACAGATTTTACGGTTAGAAAACGTCTTAAAATGTAGACGTCTACATTTTGAGACACTATTTGGAACGAACTGTGAACACCCCAATAGTAACTTCTCCAGTAAAACATTGCAGCGAGAGCGTAAAAGCAAAATAGAGCGTAAAATTGAGAAGAAGAGAAAACTAGCAGAAAAAGTTAATGAACACAAAAGTAGCAAAAACTTGCAAGTGAACAGTCGTTGCACTGTTTTGACATTCTGCTGTAAACATTTTACTATTTATAAATCAGGTTTAAACTCTGCTTTACACACAAGCACTTACACATTCACAATATTTTGATTTAAACTCCTTTTACTTTTGTTTGTGCTAAACCAATTCAACAAATGGCGGATTTTGACATTTATTCTTCTTCTTCTTCAGCTAGCTAATTTCTGCTAGTAAAAATTTCACTAGCAAGAATTTGCAGCTCTCCCGTGTTGTTACGCTCTCGATTCAGTGCTCTCTTGCAAATTTTTTGGGTTATCATACGCTTTTCCAGTAAAAATTTGCAGATTCCAGTACAAATTAGTACTGACTATTGGTTACTATACAAACCTAGTGTTTACATCGGCGGATAAGTACAGCCAAGCCATGTGCGTTTTTGAATTTTTGATATATTAGCAGGGACGTGAACCGGTTTTGAACCGAACCGGTTTGGAACCGGAAAACCGCTTTTTTCTATTAAGTAACTGAACCATTAACCGAACCAGAATTTTCCACAAATGTTTGATCCGAACCGAAAACCGAACCACTTTCTATAAAGGTATAAAGGTTCGTTTCAACCAATTTTCAATAGATAAATGTACCCACTTTTTTCATTTTGTTAAACATGGTAATACTTACCATGTGACAATATCAAATGTAAAGGCAGCCCATCTCACTTGGCCCTTAACCTTGCGCGTTGTTGCACTTGACACTTGACACTTAAATTTGCGCGTTATTTTTTTTGTTTTTGATTTAGTCCGGAGTTTTTTTCCTGTAAGTTCATGAAAAGTGTCAAACGATCAGCTGATTTGCATGTGCCAACAAAAACAGAAAGCGGTGAAAGCCACAATAACATTGACAAAAAACCTTGTATTTGTAAAAAAAATGGTAGTAAACAACGAAATATTTGAATATATATAGATTTAAATAATCAGTTAGTGATATTTCAGCCAAATCAGTGTTGTACCAATCACATGTAAACAAACCGACTGACCTTTTTACAGGAAATAGTGCTTTTTCCTTTTACTCTCTCTTGAGAGGGTAAAATTGTGGTTTGACAGTTCCACAGGTTTTAGTCCGAAGTTCAAAGGAACGGACTATTTGAATCAACAAGTTCGTTAAATTTAAAAATGAACAATCTTGTTGAGATTTAGTAATGAAAGAAGCATGTAAATATTTGTTTATTCAATTAATTTAATTAATTCCAAACATTTGAAAGGTACTCGGCTGAAAAAGCTGTACTCGCAATCGGAACGCAGTCAACACCACTGTCGATATAGGAAATTCGACAGTGACTTCCACAAAGGAATTGAAGCGTATGTTGAAGAAAGTCAGAATAAGAAATATATGTATAGGTCCTGTTTTGTTTTCCACCTGAAATAATTAGTCAAAACTCAATTTCTACATGCATCTTTACTTACGAATACACTTGTAAAACTTGTATGATTAATATACAAATACCTATTTCACAACTTGGAATCATATGCATTTTGTAAAACAGCTTTGATTTTAGAAAATTGTTGCTTAAATGTTTCATTAAATTTATGCGCACTTGTTTTGGAGCTATCACGAAATGCTGAGATTTGAATATAAATGCTGGAAAATATAAAATTTGCAATATATTAATAAATATCAAGGTTCATAGAATAGAAGGTTACGAC